TCCACCTTCATGAATGGATTAATAACCACTATAAAGAGGGCTTGTGGGAGTGGGTTCACTCCCTCTTGCCCTTCTGCTTTTCTGGCACGTGAAGACACAGAGTTCATTCTCTCTTGTTCTTCTGCCTTCTGCCATGCAAGGATGCAATCAGAAGACTTGACACTTTTGGAACTGTGAGAGAATAAATTTCTGTTCTTTATAAATCATCCAGTCTCAGATACTCTGTTATAGCATCACATAACAGACGAAGACAGGTTGTCATAACAAAGAACCACAGATTGGGTGGCTTAAACAACAGAAATTTATTGTCTCACAGTTCTGGAGGCCAGTAGTCTAGATCAAGGTCTTGACGGGTTGATTCCTTCTGGGAGCCATGAGAAAAGGATCTGTTCTGGGTCTCTCCCCTCAGCTTATACATGGCTGTCTCCACATCATCTTTCCCTTGTACTTGTCTATGTCTGAATTTTCTCTTATGAGGACACCAGTCATAGTGGATTAAGGTCCACCCTAAGACCTCATTTTAACTTAAAACCTCTGTAGGCCAGGTTCAAGCGATTCTCCTGCCTCAGCTTCCGGAGTAGCTGGGACTACGGGCATGCACCACCATACCTGGCTAATTTTTCTATTTTTATAAGAGTTGGGGTTTTGCCATGTTGGCAACTCAAACTCCTGATTACCTCAGGTAATCCACCTGCCTCAGCCTGCCAAAGTGCTGGGATTACAGATGTCAGCCACTGCACCTGGCCTATCACCTGGGGAGGCTGAGGTGGGCAGATCACTTGAGGTCAGGAGTTCGATATCAGCCTGACCAACATGGAGAAAACCCATCTCTACTAAAAAATACAAAAATTAGCCAAGCACGGTGGCAGGCACCTATAATCCCAGCTACTCAGGACCCTGAGGCAGGAGAATCACTTGAACCTGAGAGGTAAATCCTGTAGTGAGCTGAGATCACGCCGCTGCACTCCAGCCTGAGTGAAAGAGCAAGACCCCAACACAAAAAAAAAAAAAAAAAAAAAAAGACCCTACCTTCTAACACTATGGCATTGGGGCCTGAGCTTCCAACACATGAATTTTGGAGGACACATTCAGACCATTGTACAACTCCAGCAAACTAATGTAGACTTATGCCCAACCATATTAACTACTTTAGCTGGGCGGAGTGGCTCATGCCTGTAATCCCAGCACTTTGGGAGGCTGAGGCGGGTGAGTCACCTGAGGTCAGGAGTTTGAGACCAGCCTGACCAACATGGAGAAACCCCACGTTAGTCATACTAAAATATTTAAAATTAGCTGAGCATGGTGGCGCATGCCTGTAATCTCAGCTACTTGGGAAGCTGAGGCAGGAGAATTGCTTGAACCCGGGAGGCGGAGGTTGCGGTAAGCCAAGATTGCACCATTGCACTCCAGCCTGGGCAACAGAAGTGAAACTCTGTCTCAAAAAAAAAAAAAACCTACTTTAAACATAAACAGTCCAATTTAATACTCCAACTAAAAGACAGCAGCTTGGGTGGCAGTGTGAGAACTTGTCTAAAAAAAAAATCAAGATCCAACTACATAATATCTAAAATAAAAGAAATATACAGTTAAGGCCGGGCATGGTGGCTCACGCCTGTAATCCCAGCACTTTAGGAGGCTGAGGTGAGCAGATCATGAGGTCACAAGATTGAGACCAGCCTGGCCAACATAGTGAAAACCTGTCTCTATTAAATACAAAAATTAGCTGGGTGTGGTGGCACACACCTATAGTTCCGGCTACTCAGGAGGCCGAGGCAGGAGAATCGCTTGAAGCTGGGAGGTGGAGGTTGCAGTGAGCTGACACTGCCATTGCACTTCATCATGGGTGACAGAGTGAGACTCCATCTCAAAAAAAAAAAAAAAAGAAAAAAAAAAAGACAGTTGACCCTTGAACAGCATGAGTTTGAGCTTCCTGGATCCACATAGGTTTTTTCAATAAATATATTGGAATATTAGTTGGAGATTTGCAACAATTTGAAAAATGCACAGATAAACCACATAGCCTAGAAATATTGAAAAAATTAAGAAAAAGTTAAGTATGTCATGAATGCATAAAATATAGCTACTGGTCTATTTTATCACTTACTACAATGAACTATAGATAAATGTATTATAAGAAGTTAAAATTGGCTGGATGAGGTGGTTCCCACCTGTAATCAGAGCACTCTGGGAGGCTGAGACGGGAGGATCACTTGAGGCACGTGCTTACAGTCATAACTACTCAGGAAGTTGAGGCAGGAGGATCACTTGAGCCCAGGAGTTTGAGGTTACAGTAAGCTGTGATCATGCCACAACACTCCAGCCTGGGCAACATAGCCACACCCTGTCTCTACAAAAAAATTAGCTGGGTATGGCAATGCACACCTGTAGTCCCTGTTACTTGGGAGATTGAGGTGAGAGAGAATCACTTGAGCCCAGGAGGTTAAGCTTGCAGTGACTCATGATCATGCCACTGCACTCCAGCCTGGGTGACAGAGGGAGACCCTGTCTCAAAAAAAAGAAAAAGAGAAATTGTGATGCACTATTAAATTATAACTGCATAAAATTAGTACACACTGTACTACTATAATTTTATAACCGCCTCCTGTTGCTATTGCAGTGAGTTCAATTGTTTCGAGTATCCACTTAAAATGCTGTGACACTAATTATCGCTGCATGAGCACTTTGTCTCTCTAGTAAATTGCCTATTGCCATAAAAAAAGGTGATCTCTCACAGTTCTCTTGGATTCTTCATTGTCTTGTGCAATGCCCTAAACCTAGAATTACAGCATAGGATACATGTGAGTGCCACTACTCACGCTGGGAGCACTCCCAGGAAGCAGAGAAAAGTAATAATATTTCAAGAAAAGCTGAATTGCTTGATGTGTTCCATAGATTGAGGTCTGTAGCTATGGTTGCCCACTATTTCAAGATAAATGAATCCAGTGTAAGGACTATTGCAAAAAAAAGAAAAAGAAATGCATGAAGCTATACCAGTAGCGTGAAAACCTCACACTTTTTGCAAAATACTTTTTTTTTTTTGAGGTGAAGTTTCACTCCTTTTTGCCCAGGTTGGAGTGCAATGGCACAGCCTTGGCTCACTGCAGCCTCTGCCTCCTAGGTTCAAGAAATTCTCCTGCCTCAGACTCCTGTGCAGCTGGGATTGCAGGTGTGTACTACCATGCCTGGCTAATTTTGTATTTTTAGTAGAGATGGGGTTTTACCATGTTGATCAGGCTGGTCATGAACTCCTGACCTCAGGTGATCTGCCTGCCTTGGCCTCCCAAAGCGTTGGGATTACAGGCATGAGCCACCATGCCTGGCCGCAAAATACCTTTTTATCTTATATTCAAAATGCAGCTTTTATGTGGGTGCAGGATTGCTGTAAGAACAGAACACATGTAGACTCTAATGTGATTTGAGACAAAGTGAAGTCAGTATATGACAACTTAAAGCAAAAGGACGGTGAGGATCTAGTGCTAGAGAATTTAATGCCATCAAAGGATGGTTTGATAGTTTTAGAAAGAGGTTTGGCTTTAAAAATGTCAAGAGAGGCTGGGTGCAGTGACTCATGCCTATAATCCTAGCACTTTGGGAGGCCAAGATGGGAGGATTGCTTAAGCCCAGAAGTTTGAGAGTAGCCTGTAAAACATTGCAAAACCCTATTTCTACTGAAAATTAGCCAGGCTTGGTGGCATGCACCTATAGTCCCAGCTACTTGAGAGGCTGAAGTGAGAGAATCACCTGAGCCCGAGAGGTTGAGGCTGCAATGAGCCATGCTGGTACCACTGCACTCCAGCCTGAGTGACAGGAGTGAGATTCTGCTCAAAAAAAAAGAAAAAAGAAAAAAAGGACAAGATAACAGGAAAAGCAGCTTTTATCTACCAAGAGACAAAAGATGAATTCTGAGATGCCAATAAGAAAATAGTTGAGGCCGGGTGCAGTGGCTCACACCTATAATCCCAGCACTCTGGGTGACTGAAGTGGGTACATTGCTCTAGTTCAGTTCAAGACCAGTCTGGGCAACATGGTGAAACCCCATCTCTACTGAAAGAAAATACAAAAAATTGACCAGGTATGGTGGCAAATGCCTGTAGTCCCAGCTACTCAGGAGGCTGAGGTGGGAGGATCACCTGAGCCCAGAAAGTTGAGGCTACAGTAAGCTGTGATCATGATATTGCACTCCAGCCTGGAAAATGAGGGGGAAATTTTTTTAAAAAAAAAAAAAAAAAAAAAAAAAAGAATTGAGGGGAAAAGGTATCTGCCTGAACTTTAATGTAGAAGAAAACAGAAAACCACAAAAGACCTTTATTAGTAAGAAAGAGAAGTGAGCAGTAAGATTTAAGGCAAGAAGAGATAGACCAACTCTCCTGTTTTGTGCAAATGCAGTCAGGTTTATAATAAAGGCTGCCCTTATCTATAAATCTGCTAACCCTCAAGCTGAAGGGAAAAGAGAAACACCAGCTGCCAATCTTTTGGTTGTGTAACAAGAAAGCCTAGACAATGAGAACCCTTTTTCTGGATTGATTCCATTGATACTTTGTCCCTGAAGTCAGGATGTACCTTGACAGTAAGAGATTGCCTTTTTTTGTTCTTGTTTTTTGAGATGGAATCTTGCTCTGTCACTCAGGCTGGAGTGCAGTGGTGTGATCTTAGCTCACTACAGCCTCCACCTACTGGGTTCAAGTGATTTTCCTGTCTCAGCCTCCTGAGTAGCTGGGATTACAGGTGTCTGCCACCACTCTTGGCTGATTTTTCTATTTTTAGTAGAAACAGGGTTTCATGTTGGCTAGGCTGGTCTGGACCCCTGATCTCAAGTGATCCACCCGCCTCGGCCTCCCAAAGTGCTGGGATTACAGGTGTGAGCCACCACACCTGGCCTGGGATTGCCTTTTAAAATTCTCTTGTTATTGGACAATGCCTTTGGCCTTGAACCCCATCAGTTCAGTACTGAAGGTGTCAAAGTGGTCTACTTGTTTCCAAGCACATTGTCTCTAATTCAGCCTCTAGATTGAGGGATCATAAGGACATTAAAGGCTCATTACACATACAGATGGCACTCTATTGAAAGGACTGTCAACTCTACAGAAGAGAACCCTGATAGAACATCGTGAAAGTCTGGAAGGATTATGCCATTGAAGATGCCATCATTGTTATGGAAAAAGCCATGAAAGCCATCAAGCCTGAAACAATAAATTCTTACCGGAGAATACTGTGTCCAGATGTCATGCACAATTTCACAGGATTTATGATAAAGCCAAGCTAGGAAATCATGAAAAAGATTGTGAATATGGCAAAAAAGATGGGGATGAAGGGTTTGATAGGGATCTCAGAGAAATTTAAGAGCTTAATAGACACCACACCAGACTAGTTAACAGAAGATGACTTGATAGAGATGAGTGCTTCTGAACCCCTGCCAGATAAAGATATAGAAGCAGCAGTGGCAGAAAGTAAATGAACTGAGACAGTCTAGAAGGAGGATTCTGATTATTCAAGACCACTTTTGACATTTTTTTATGACATGGACCCTTCTGTGATGCAGGCACTGAAACTAAAGCAAATAGCAGAAGAAGGATTAATACTATATAGCAGGCAGGGGTCCCCAACCCCCAGGCCATCGGAACCAGGCCATACAGCAGGAGGTGAGTTATGGGTGAGCAAGTGAACACAAGCTTCATCTGCATCCACACCTGCTCCCCATCGCTTGCATTACTGCATAAGCACCACCTCTTGTCAGCTCATAGGAGAGCGAACCCCATTGTGAACTGCGCATGTGAGGGATCTAGGTTGCCAGCTCCTTATGGGAATCTAATGCCTGAATCTGTCACTGTCTTCTATCACCCCAGAAGGGACCGTCTAGTTGCAAGAAAAGCTCAGGGCTCCCATTGATTCCACATTATGTTGAGCTGTATAATTATTTCATTATATATTACAATGTAATAATAATAGAAATAAAGCACACAATACATATAAAGTGCTTGAACCATCCTGAAACCACTGCCTTAACCCCTTCTATGGGAAAAAAAGTCTTCCATAAAACCAGTCCCTGGTGCCAAAAACGTTGGGACTGCTGCTATTTAGAAACATTTTTAGAGAAATAGAAGTTACAATGTATTTCCGTAAAGTTACACCAGAGTGTGCCTGCCTCTCCTGCCTCCGCTTCCACCTCTTTTGCCTCTGCTGCCCCTGAGACAGCAAGACCAACCATTCCTCTTCCTCTTCCTCAGCCTACTCAACGTGAAGGCGATGAAGATAAAGACCTTTATGATGATCCACTTCCATTTAATGAGTAGTAAATATGCTTCCTCTTATGATTTTTTTCTTTTCTTTTTTTGAGACAAGGTTTCACTCTCACCCAGGCTGCAGCATAGAAACCTTTTTTTGAGACAAGGTTTCACTCTCACCCAGGCTGGTACAATCTCAGCTCACTGCACCTCAGCCTCCTGGGCTCCCAGGCTCAAAGGATCTAACCTCAAAACCCCATCTCCAGCTGGGCCTGGAGGTTCATACCTATAATCCCAGCATATTTGGGAGATGTGCTGGGATTTTGGGAGGCTGAGATGGTTGGATTACCTGAGGTCAGGACCAGCCTGGCCAACACAGTGAAACCCCATCTGTACTAAAACTATAAAAATTAGCTGGGCGTGGTTGCATTCGCCTGTAATTTCAGCTATTGGGGAGACTGAGGCAGGAGAATTGCTTGAACCCTGAAGGCAGAGGTTGTAGTGAGCCAAGATCATGCCACTGCACTTTAGTCTGGGCCACAGAGCAAAACCCTGTCTAAAAAAAAATATAATAGTAATTAATTTAAAAACAAAAACCTGTCTCTACAAAAAATATGAAAAGTCTTGCCAGGCATGGTGGCTCACACCTATAATCCCAGCACTTTGGGAGGCCTAGGCTTGTGGATCATCTGAGGTTGAGAGTTCAAGACCAGCCTGACCCAACATGGAGAAACCCTGTCTCTATTTAAAGAATACAAAATTAGCTGGGTACAGTGGTGCATGCCTGTAATCCCAGCTATTTGGGAAGCTGAAGCAGGAAAATGGCTTGAACCTGGTAGGCGGAAGTTACAGTGAGTTGAGATCATGCCATTGCATGCCAGCCTGGGCAACAAGAGCAAAACTGTGTCTCAAAAAGAAAAGAAAAGAGAAGAAAAATCAGCTGGGCACAGTGACAATTTGGGAGGCCAAGGTGGGTGGATCACTTGAGGCCAGGAGTTCGAGACCACCCTTGCCAACATGGTGAAACCCCGTGTCTAGTAAGAATACAAAAAAAGGCTGGGTGTGGTGGCTCATGCCTGTAATCTCAGCACTTTGGGAGGCCGAGGCAGGCAGATCACTTGAGGTCAGGAGTTGAAAAACAGCCTGGCCAACAGAGCAAAACCCTGTCTCTACTAAAAATACAAAATAATTAGCCAGGCGTGGTGGCGGGCACCCTGAAATCCCAGCTACTCGTGAGGCTGAGGCAGGAGAATCACATGAACCTGGGAGGTGGAGGTTGCAGTAAACCAAGATCGCACCGCAGCATGCCAGCCTGTGCAATAGAACAAGACTTCGTCTCAAAAAAAAAAAAAAAAATTAGCTGAGCATGGTGGGTGCCTGTAGTCCAAGCTACTTGGGAGACAGGGATTGCTTGAGCCTGGGAGGTGGAGGTTGCAGTGAGCCAAGATCTCACCACTGCGCTCCAGCCTGGGCAATAGAGCCAGACCTTGTCTCAGTCAATCAATCAATGTAACCAACAAATACACAATTATCAGAGATTTGAAACCCTTCTATTGGTAATTGATAGAACAACTAGACAGAAAAGCTGCTGGATATAAAAAACCTGAACAATATTATCAACCAACTTGATATAGTTGACATTCAAGAAACTCCACCAAATAACTGCAGAATATACCTTTTTTTCAAGCACACATAGAACATTACCCAAGCTAGATTATATCTGGGCCATAAGGTAAGTCTCAATATATTTCTAAAGATTAAAATCTATTGCTTGAGGCCTGGAATTTGAGACTAGCCTGGGCAACATATTACATAGAGAGACCCCCATCTCCATAAAAAGTAAAAATTTGGCTGGGCATGATGGCTCATGCCTGTAATCCCAGCACTTTGGGAGGCCAAGACGGGCAGATCACCTGAGGTCAGGAGTTTGAGGCAAGCCTGACCAACATGGAGAAACCCCATCTCTACTAAAAATACAAAATTAGTTGGGTGTGGTGGCACTTGTCTGTAATCCCAGCTACTGAGGAGTCTGAGGCAGGAGAATGGCTTAACCCTGGAAAGCGGAGGTTGTGGTGAACTGCGATCGCACCACTGCATTCCAGCCTGGGCAACAAGAGCAAAAAACTCCATCTCAAAAAAAAAAAAAAAAAAAAAAAAAGTGAAAATCTTAGCTGAGCGTGGTAGCATGTGCCTATAGTCCCAGTTACTTGGGAGGCTGAAGTGGAAGATTATTTGAGCCCGAGGACTTGGAGGCTGCAGTGAGTATGACTGTGCCACTGCACTCCAGCCTGGTTAAAGAGTGAGACCCTGTCTCTAAAGAAAAAAAAAAGGGCCAGGCGAAGTGGCTCACACCTGTAATCCCAGCACTTTGGGAGGCTCAGGCAGGTGGATCACCTGAGGTCAGGAGTTCAAGACCAGCCTGATCAACATGGTGAAACCCTATCTCTATTAAATATACAAAAATTAGCTGGGTGTGGTGGTGGGTTCTTGTAATCTCAGCTACTCAGGAGTCTGAGGCAGGAGAATCACTTGAACCCAGGAGAGGGAGGTTGCAGCGAGCTGAGATTATGCCACTATGCTCCAGCCTAGGCAACAGAGCGAAACTCCTCAAAAACAAAAACAAAAACAAAACAACCTCACAGAATATATACTCTGATCATCTGATCACAATGAAATTAAATTAGAACAAATAATAGTAACATATCTAGAAAATCCCCAAATGTTTAGAAATTAAATAATATATTTCTAAAGAATATATTTTTAGGCCCCGTATGGTGGCTCACACCTGTAATCCCAGCTCTTTGGGAGGCCGAGGAGGGAGGATCGCTTGAGGCCAGGAGTTTGAGACCAGCCTTGGCAACATAGCAAGACTGTTTCTACAAATAATAAAAGAAAACCAGGCATGGTGGCACATGCCTGTAATTTCAGCTACTCAAGAGGCTGAGGTGGGAGAATTGCGTGAACCCAGGAGGCAAAGGCTGCAGTGAGCTGTGATTGTGGCACTACACTCCAACTTGGGTGACAGTGCAAGACCCTGTCTCATATGTACACAGAAGTATTTCTGTGTAATTAATGAATCAAAGAAAAAACACAAATGAGAAAATTTTTCAAACTGAAGCATAATGAAAGCATAGAATATCAAAATGTGTGTGGTGCAGCTAAAGAAGTACTTAAAGGAAAATTTATAATTTAAAATCCCTGTAAGAGAAAAGAGGAAGGTGTTGGGGGGACAGAGTGAGACTCTGAGTGCAGTGGTGCGATCTCAGCTCACTGCAACCTCTGACACCCAGATTCAAGTGATTCTCATGCCTCAAACTCCTGGCTTCAACTGATCCACCTCACTTCAGCTTCCCAAAGTGCTGGGATTACAGGCATGAGGCATTGTGCCTGGTGGAAATATTTAAATTAATAATTCTATGTTTCTAGCTTAAGAAGCTATAAAAAGGCCTGGCGTGGTGACTCATGCCTGTAATCCCAGCATTTTGGGAGGCCGAGGCGGGCAGATCACCTGAAGTCAGGAATTTGAGACCAGCCTGACTGACATGGAAAAACCATGTCTCTACTAAAAGTACAAAATTAGCTGGACATGGTGGCGCATGCCTGTAATCCCAGCTACTTGGGAGGCTGAGGCAGGAGAATCGCTTGAACCCAGGAGGTTTCACTTGAACCCAGGAGGCAGAGGTTGCAGTGAGCCAAGATTGTGCCATTGTACCCCAGCCTGGGCAACAAGAGTGAAACTTTGTCTCAAAAAAAAAAAAAAAAGTTTGGCAGTTTCTCAAAAAGTCAAATTACCATATCACCCAGCAATTCTACTCCCTGGCATATACCCAGGAGAATTGAAAACATGTTCGTACAAAAATTTGTACATGAATGTTCATAGCAGTGTTAGCAAAAACGTAGAAGCAATCCAACTGTCCATTGACAGATGAATGGATAAACAAAATGTGGTATATTCCTATAATGGAATATTATTCAGCAATAGAAAGGAATGAAGTAGTTATATGCTACAAGATGGATAAACCTTGAAAACCTTATGCTAAGTGAAGGAAAGCAGACATAAAATGATCCCATTTATATGAAATTTACAGGGCTGGGTATGGTGGCTCATGCCTGTAATCTCAGCACTTTGGGAGACTGAAGTGGAGGGATTGCTTGAGCCCAGGAGATCAGCATGGGCAACATAATGAGATCCTCTGTACAAAAAATAGAAAATTAGCCAGGTGTGGTGACATACACCTGTAATCTTGAGGCAGAAGATCCTTTGAGCCAGGAGGCCAAGACTGCAGTGAGCTGTGATTGCACTACTGTACTCCAGCTTAGGCAACAAAGTGAGACCCTGCCTCAAAAAAAAAAAAAAAAGTTGTGTCTGGGCATGGTGGCTCACGCCTGTACTCCTAGCTCTTTGAGAGACCGAGGTGGATGGATCACCTGAGGTCAGGAGTTTGAGACCATCCTGGCTAAAACAGTGAAACCCTGTCTGTACTAAAAATACAAAAAATTAGCCAGGTTTGGTGACACACGCCTGTAGTCCCAGCTACTCAGGAGGCTGAGACAGGAGAATTGCTTGAACCTGGGAGGCGGAGGTTGCAGTGACCCGAGATCAAGTCACTGCACTCCAGCCTGGGTGACAGAGCGAGACTCCGTCTCAAAAAAAAAAAATGTAAAAAATTAATTATAAGGTCAGGCGTGGTGGCCCATGCCTGTAATCTCAGCACTTTGAGAGGCCAAGGCAGGTGGATAACCTGAGGTTGGGAGTTCGAGACCAGCCTGGCCTACATGGTGAAACCCCATCTCTACTAAAAATACAAAAAATTAGCCAGGCATGGTGGCGGGTGACCCAAGATCGTGCCACTGCACTCCAGCCTAGGCAACAAGAGTGAAACTCTGTCTCAAAAAAAAAAAATTAATTATAAAAATGAAAATTTCAGAATTGACAAATCCATATAGACAGAAAGTAGATTAGTAGTTGCCAGGGAAGAATTGGAACTGACTGCCAGTGAGCACAGGGTTTCTTTCTAGGATGATGGAGATGTTACACAATTAGATGGTGGTAGTGGTTGCACAACATAGTGAATATACTAAAAAAAATCCACTGAATTTTACACTTTAAAATGGTGAATTTTGGAGGCTGAGCACAGTGGCTCATGCCTATAGTCCCAGCAC